AATAATTTCATATTTAACGTACTTTCAGAAGTTTGAATTCTGAATATAACCGGACTTTTCCTTTAAATGCTTCTGAAATCAAATCTGCATCATAGTTGAAGTGTGTCCATCCCCCGTTTACAGCTGGAGTACAATCATGTCCCGGTGCTGTATGGGATGGTGCTGGAGGTGACTGTGAAGAGCAGGAAGGCCAAGAAGACTTTTGTGGCTGCGACCAACATTAAACTGGAAGATGAGGTGCTGGACAAGGAGGTGTGGTTTCCCCTTGGGAACTGTGTCATTTGACCCTGGAGACTGCACTGTGAGCCTGCTGCCAGCAGGGGGAGCCAAAACACTTACTGTATTTTACTGTATGTTTCATGTAGATGTTATTTTTATCAACGGGGAAAAGATGAGCACTGTACAGTAGGCAGATCATGCCATTCATACATGTCTTTTAGAGACTTTTTTTTAAAGCACTGACAGTGGCTGGGATTTTTAACCCAAGTTACAAAGTTAAAATACATGTTTACTGTGAAATTAGATTAATTACTAGTTTTTTATGCAGTTCAAATGACTGCATCTGGGTGATATATGAAGGAAAGCGTGTAGCGGTGGTCCTGTTTGCTTTGTTTTCTGAGCTGAATCATAAGAGTGTCTGCATGCATTGATGTAACAGATTAGGGGATGTTTCTTACCTGCAGAGACACGTTTGCTCCCTCCAGGCTGCATGTCCTTGACCAGAGGAATTGGAAACGAGAGACAAGCGGGTGAGGGAAAGGTGAGGATAGTGTGTGATCTGGATGACAACTCAGCATCTCAGGCCCTGAGGGCCGAGTTAACCGCCCCCCCACCCCATCCACCGTCTTCTCCATCAGTAGCCTTCAAATCCAGTCGAGCACGTGTGTGTTTACGGCAAGGCCGATAAAACACAAGCGTTCCGATTGACATGCACACTTACTCGTCTCTAGGCCAAGCTGGGTCTCTGTTATCTTGATGCCATTCCTGTCCTGACAGGCCTGCTGACCCGTACTTTTCTTTTACCTCATTTAAAGGATTTAGTGATGAACGGAGATGGAAATAGACTTCCCTGCACTGATTTCAACTCAATAATGTATACCTCTTTGGAGACTATTTATATAATCCCTGATAGGATTCTCAAATGGAACGGCGAGCCGTTGCTGATGGCTATTTTTTGATGACTGTGGTAATGGAGCGTTAATAAAACTGGCATCACTCAGCAACGCCAGCCTTGATAGGTGAAAACAACAGAACACATACAGTACATTTGTTTTTAACCCTGGTAATGATGTGTGAAACGATCCTAAAATCGACATATCTGTTTTTGCAGTAACATAATCTCTTACTGAGAACTTTACTTAATTAAATTAGATTTACTCATTGGGGAAAAGAGCCCATGCTCAATAAAATTATAGTTTGAAATGATCGTTTGCCACCAGGGAGACACTTTAACTTAAATTTTACAAGTTTAAGGTCCGATCCATGCTGACACACCTGCAAAAAATTGAAATCGAAATAAGTAATTTGTTCCTAAACTAAGTACATTTGTTCTTGAATTGAGGAGGTA